CCCGCTCAAAATCTTGGCTGTATACCTTAGGAGATCTTCTGAAGTTACCAACAAATTGTAATTTTTAATACAACACAAGGGTAAATTATTAAAGACATCATAATTTACATTATTAAAGTGATCACGTTAAAATCATTTAATTTTAAATAAATGGAAACAGAATGAAATCAGACTTCATTTCTATCCTGATCCTGCTTGGGGAAGGGCGATCCCCAACATGCCTTTCCAAGACCTAATAGGGCCAATCGCTGGAAAAACGTGGCGCACCCCTGCTCTGGAATCGCTCAGCAGAGACCTCCTGTCATCAGATGTGAATGCTCTATGTTCAAGCTTGCAGGAACATTTACAAAATGCCAAGCTAAATTCTCTGTAAGATACTATCATGTGAAACAGCAGCCTGGCAGCTTGCCTGAAAAAGCATTCCTATTGCAAATAATGTCAGTTAAGCTTTCAGCTCAAGCTATTTTCATTCTTCTGGCCACCTGTGCATTATACAGAAAGTCAGGGGGAAACCAGATCTTTATTCGCATTCCATCAGACTGCGTATCAGTCCCCTCGAATATTTTTTGTGTCCTAAAATAATCCTCACATCTTAGCAATGCTAATGGAGAGGGAAAGGAGCCAATTATGGAATTTTGCTCTCTTCCCCTTATTTTGCAGGCAGCAGACTTCCCATCATGTCCAGGAACAAAAGACAAACACGGTGGTCTTCTTTCCTGCAGCAGTTTGCAGTGAGACAGCAGCTTACACCGACTAGCTTTGCACCACTCTGAAAAGAGTGCGGGTGAGAAGCAATCGCCCGATGCCCTGATGAATCAGGGATTAGAAAACAATTGACAGGAAAACATTTCAAGGGAATAACATAAAGGGGGGGGGTGAATTAAACTGATTGTCAGGTAGTTAGCTTTGCAGATTCTATTAGGCAAAAGATCTGTAGAATTGGCATAAGCTGTGTTTAAACAAACAAAACGAGGGGAGCAGGGGAGAAAGTGGGTGGGTGAATGGATGGATGGATGGATGGATGGATGGATGGATGGATGGATGGATGGTTGGCTTGTGGAAGCTGCAGCCACAAAGGCGTGATGAAACTCACAGGGAATATGGCGCCATCAGCCCCAGTGTTATACAGGCTCCCAGCTTGGAGGCACCATGCCACTGAATGCAAGCTACTGAGACAGCACTTGCAGGAGGAGCCCCATCCCCTTCAGATGTCTAGCAGCATGAGAAGCTTCCTCTTGTGCAGTTGGGACCTCTGACCCAACAAGCTCAATATTTTTCACTGGAGATGTCAGAGGTTGAACCTAAGACCTTCTGCAAGTCCAAAGCTATGGTCCTTTGCTAGCTGGCCACTGCTTGGGGGAAAATACAAACCATACTGAGCCAAATGTCCCACTGGCCTGTTTCAGAAAGGCTCCTTATGTGTTAAAATCCTAGAACTTGAAAGGGCCATTCAGACCATTGAGTCCAACCTGCCACCCAGTGCAGGAATCCAAATTAAAACACTTTTGATAGTCATTGCTTCAGTCTCTGCATACAGGTAGTCCTCAACTTACGATCATTCATTTAGCGACTACTTGAAGTTACAACAGCTCTGAAAAAAGTGACTTACAACACCGGTCCTCGCACTTACAACCATTGCAGCATCCCCACAGTCACGTGATTGCGATTTGGGCACTCAGCAATTGTCACACGCTTACAACAGTTGCAGCATCCTGAAGCCACTTGATTGCCATTTGTGACCTTCACAGCAGGCTTCCGACAAGCAAGGTCAATGGGGGAGCCGACAGGGAAAGTCATAAGTCACGGTTATGTGATGTCTCACTTAATGACCGTGGTGATTCACTTAACAGCCATGGTAAAAAAGGTTGTAAAATCAGGTGTGGTCATGTAATGCCTCACTTAATGACTGCACTGCTTAACAATGAATTTTCTGGTCCCAATTGTGGTCGTAAGTCAAGGACTATCTGTAACCACATCCAGCAAAGGTTGCGTTCAATGTGCGTAGCCAGGCTTAAGACACACCTCCGTTTGTCTACATGTTATGGGGAGCCCACAAGACTACTTTAAAACACGCTCTATGCCCTCTCATTCTCCCAATCAAAACACATCCATACCTTTCACTCCTATTTGAATCTACATTTTCCAGGTTCCAGCAGCACCAAGCTCCATCATACAGTTACTCCAATTCTTTTTTTAAAAAAATTAAATGCATATTTTCCCAAGAAAAGCTTTGAAATGTTCCTAGGTTGATTAATAAGGCAGCTTTTATTCTTTTTAATTTAGCACACTTAAGGTTTCTAAATTACCATTAAGCTTTCAAGCCATCCAAGTGAGAATACTACAGACATTTTTACTGAATTCTTTCTTGCTTTGAAGATTGTTTTCTGTAATATCTCTCCCTCACATGCCAGAGCAAGAGAAAGTGCATTAGTTCTGGTGTGCATGGTTCAAAGCTGTTTAGATGTTAGAGGCTAACACCTGAATTTTGAACACTCAGAAGGGCAGGCAAGAACGAAGCTAGAATAACCTTGAACTACACTGCCTGTTCTCCAATTAAGAAGTCAGTGTTACAACTGAAGTATTAACCATGTATTAACAGCCAAAGTCACAACTGTTGACTGCGAAGATCAAAGCCTGTGCAAGCAGCAGGGTTTGTGGGTTTCTATTAAATGTGCAAAATAATTGGACATTGCACAGCCCACAAAGGCAGAAGGGATCCACATAAAAAACAGTTTAAGATCCTCGTGGGGCTTCAACCTAACCAGGCTCAGATGTCAAAAGAGGTAGTCTGCCAATATCATTGATACTCCAAACTTCGTACGCGTCTATACAATCAAAAGGATGTTTGGCCAGATGCACAACCATCCTCTTTTGCTTAAGTCCTGCTTGCTTGCAACCTTTCCTCTGTCACCCCCTTCCTACTTGCTTTCTTAAACAGGGCAAACACACAATTGGGCCCTCATGAGGAAGAGGAAGGAAAGGGAGGGCAGGAAGAAAATGGCTGGTTAATTAAAGAGTGAAGTGCCCCTTCTTTTTCTGCCTCTCTGCATCAGAGCTCTCACTCCCACTGGTTCTACTCAACGTGGCTGCCTTTTACTGGTGCGACAATGTTGGGTTCCATGGGTCTCAGTTTGTCGTTAGAACTTAACAAGTGAAAAGAAGAAGACAACCTCTCTTGGGTGTTCTGCACTGTGACCCTGCAGTTGGCAGCACGTTGCCTCCTCTTCAACGCTTGACAGAGATTGTTTGAAATGAAACTCCCTTGAAATCAGGGGAGCTTCCTTCCATGACAATATGTTTACGGATATGGTGAGAAGCCAAGTCCCCATTATGCATTTTGTACAAAAGCAAGCGCCCAATTTGCAACCCTGTAATTACAGCAGGACTGCTTTAAACAATAAGAAAATGACATTCATGTTCATGAGGTATCTCTTCTTCTGTCTTCTTTTTAAAACCAGCAACATGCTCCAAGTGCAGGCTTCAGCTCAGGGTAAAACAAAACCGCCAAGACCTTGAAGGCAGCAGGAATTTCTGCTTGGTTAAGCTGGGAAAAAAGCAATAAGCTGGGATCCTGGGATTTCTACAGCAATCAAAGGGTTTCATGATGCTCTGCAATTGTTGAAAGATTATTTTTTACCTGTCTTTTGCAATGCCCGAAGAAGCCTCAAAGACTTCATACCTGCAGTTTCAGGCTTCTACCTAGTTCATCACATTACTGACATGCTGTCCAGAACATGCATGTTGTCCATATATGAATAATGTAAGCCAGATGCCCTAACATAAAATATTCAGAGTTCCTCACAGAACAAGGGCAAATTGGGCTGTGGGAAGGATGACCTTTTAAAAAGTTGATCCATTGCCTGAAAATAGCCAAAGGAATAATTCCACTCTTTCACCAACACCACTAGCAATTCCAAACTAATTTCATTTATAAAGTTGGGCTTTCCATAAAGGATTCTGCTTTGGCAAACAGATCCCCTGGGATTATAGAAGCAAAGCAAATGGCTTCTTCCACCATTGAACAAAGGGCCCAACATGGCTCCTGGGGAGTTCATTCACTCATTAGTTGGTTGGAGTACATTTGATTACAGAGCAAAGTATGGATACAGGAGCACATTAAGCACATCAAGGCCCAGTAGAGAAGTGGGAAATTCTCTACGAAATGTTCATCCAGTTGCTGCCGGGATCTGAGCTGTCTACAACTCCCAGGCAGAATGGCTAACAGTGAAGGATGTTGGCAGCTGAACCTCATAAACTCATTTGAAAGCCAACCATTTAGGAAAATCTTTCCCACTTAGCCACCAGGATGCAGGGGAGGGGGGGGGAGACTGATGGCCCTTATTTCCCTTTTTTGCCCCAACGAATGAGTTTCTTGTAAAAGCTTAAGGTACCACTGCACCCTTTAAACCTTCTCTGAACTCAGCTGATTATTCACTTGATGGTTTTTGTTATAGAGCAAAATTGCATTCTAGTGTCTGCAATGTTTAAAGCACTAATATTTCCCCTTAAAACTCCCTAGTCCCAAAGAATTAGCCTTGGCCCCACCCACTCTAGGGACGTCACCCAATCCCTTTGCAGTCTTCCACAGTCAAACAGATTCCCATTCCTGTACAAGAGGTCCATTCTTCCTTAATAAGAGAGTCATGCAACTAGGCTTATAAAATCTTTCTCCCTTTGCTCCTTATAGGCTGCCTCAAGAACAGCATACTCTAAATGGCGTACACTGAAACTCTCCTATGCGTGTACAGAATTCTTGCAAATGTAGGCTGATGCAATACAGCACCCATGGGGAAAACAGATCTGCTGCCATTCTTGGATAGATGTCTTCATATAGGAGTGACATTGTTGTTTGGATAGAATCAAGGACTAATAACGCATCACATTTTTCTAGCAACCAGGAACGTCAACAAGCCTACAACTCATGCCTATTAATAAAATCAGCCCTTGCTTAAACCACAATCACCCCAAAAGTTACAAAGATGGTAAAGTTAGAATACCAGGAGACACTTGGAGGATAGTAGCGAACAGGAAGTCCACGATATCGGGTGCTGGCAAGGGAAGAAACAACAACAAAAACAGGGGGAGAAAAACGACTCCATTATTACCTCAACAAAATCCTCATTTTCAATTTTAGTTATTATGACCGTTAGCCAGCAAAAACAAAACCATCTTTCAGAGTTCAGCTGTGCCCTCCCAAATTAAACGAAGCCAAGCATACAAAGTCAGCCAGGGCACACAAGACATAAAAAAAAAAGTGGGGGAGAGCCAAAAGCCAAGCTTGCTAATAGGGTGAAACTGTAGTATAACATGGTGGTTGCCACACCCATAGTGATACTTCCTTCAGATTGCCCAAGATTACCATCAAGTCATGTGGAGAAATGTTCTAAGCATGCACAATGGTGGAGCGCTTCTCTTCTTATTGGTTCCATGCTCTGCTCACTACAGTAAATATGGGGCTGCTGCACCCACAACAGATGGACATCTAACTCAGAACTGCTTCTTAAGCAAACCACATTTGTTTCTCTTCCCTCAGCCCCTGAAGTTCACACACACAAAAGTTTAATTAATGGTTCTAATTTGGCTTAGTTCAATTGAAGACTTTGAGTCCTAAATGTTATTACCAGCATTCTAGAGCAAGTATTATTGCACTGGGCTGTTTGGCAAAAGCACAGTGCCTATTTAAAAAAAAAAATCTAGTTCTGCTATTAAAGTTGCTCAGATTTGAAAAATAGGGTTTGCTGAAGCCCTGCTGGTCAAAGTAAAGGAAACAAAAGAAAGCCTGTGGGCTCTTCTTTTCCCTGAACATTCTCTGAGTTTGATTTGAAGAAATGTTACTGATTTATTCTTGATCTCTGTCACCACCCTGTGGAAATTAATCTGAACTGCAAAACGTTTCAGGTTAATTGTTCTAAGATGGTCAATTGGTCTGAACAGATGCAACAGCAGTTGTGAGCACTTAATTTTATTCACGGCCTTGGCCTCTCATTTCAGAACACTGAACACTTTAGAGAGGATACCATGACAAGAACATATGTCAACAGAAATGACATCATATATGAAACTTGTCATTCAAATTGGTTTTTTTTTAATTTTTAAATGTAACCTGGATGTTAGGTGAAAAGCATATTATGCTATTCAAATGACTTAAACTGTACTGAAAATGGAATTTAGCTTTTCCTAGGTATCCACACCATTGAGCAGATCAGCGTAGTCGGTGATGTGGAAGCAAGGAAACATCACAATGCAACATTAAAATAGATTCTACTAGATAGAAGGAACACCTTATTTTTGCAACAGCTATTCCATGTTCAAATAAACCTTGAGTTTGTCCCTAAAGCCAAGCCACTTCTGCTTCTCCTTCTCTGGGTTATTTTCGTCACCAAAGAAACATGGAACTCCTAGCTTGTAAAGTATGATATGCTGAATGTCTGTACAATAATGCTCTTCACTGAGTTTAAAATGCTGATAGTAATAACTTGCTTTGGAAACTCCTCAACAGATTAAAACAAAGACAGGGAAAGAAAGCAAATAATGATAAAAACGTTTCTGGGGAAACTATGTCACCCTTCAGCAGAGGCATACATTTAAAGCTGCATGCATTTATAACAAGTCTAAGCTGGTAGTCAAAAAAGTGAGTAGTTATGGTTTGCAACTTGAAGAACACAGTAAGAAACACAATGGCACAAATCACACAGCTCAAATCATCCATGAGAAGCCAAGATGCCACGTCAACCTCCAATTTCAACCCATTTAGAAACACTCCAGAAATCAGGAAGAAACACATCAGCACAGACACCTGTTTGAGGGTTAGTCGGTTAATGAAATAAAATGCAAAGCAAAGGAAAATAGGTACGTGTGAGTTCTCCAAACGTATAAATGAAAAATCCCGTATTCATCTGGAAAGGAAAAACAAAAACAAGATAAGTCTGAGGAAAGGAGTATAGAGAACAGAAGAAAAAGTATGGGCTGAATTGAAGATACTACAGATTTGTCTCTTTAAAAATTTAAGCGCTTAGGAATCAGACCGATGTTTTAGCAAATGCAGGAAGATCAACAGAGAGAAACAGGGGAAAAGAGTTAGGAGCCATATTCTGAATTTGTTGAGAAGGCTGAAAGAACAAAGGGCACACACACAATAAAAGAGTTTGATGTAATCTTCCAACATCCCAAGAGATGTGTCCCCCTTCTCAAAACACTTGGGAGAAAAGAACCGTAACCACTAGAGCAGTATTTCTCAACCTTGGCGAGTTTAAGATGGGTGGACTTCAACTCCCAGAATTCTAAACACTTGGGAGAAAAGAACCGTAACCACTAGAGCAGTATTTCTCAACCTTGGCGAGTTTAAGATGGGTGGACTTCAACTCCCAGAATTCTAAACACTTGGGAGAAAAGAACCGTAACCACTAGAGCAGTATTTCTCAACCTTGGCGAGTTTAAGATGGGTGGACTTCAACTCCCAGAATTCTCCAGCCAGCCATGCTGACTGGGGAATTCTGGGAGTTGAAGTCCACCCATCTTAAAGTCGCCAAGGTTGAGAAACACTGCACTGGAGTGTCCTTTGCTGATCTCTCCTGTAACACAAGAAGTGGGGAACAGAGGAGTGCTTCTCCAAAGGCTGGTGGATCCCTGGCTGGGGTGTCCTTCACACTGTCTAGCATCAACATTTCAATGCTGAAATGAGAAGGCTGCAGTTGGGTACAAAAGTTCCTGCCAGCATCACCAATCCCTGATGAGGGTTGCAGGTATTTGCAGTTTGGCAACTCCTGGAGAGCCCATAGATCCCAGTTCTAGTCTAGTACACAGTTGAGCTGCTGGGTTAGTTTTCTTCACCTCCTTAGCAGTTCTCTAGTCTTTTATAATAGCTAGCAGTCGCTCTTAACATCACAATGATTTTGTTCAAATATAAGGCTGCCAAATCCCTTGGATATTTTAAATTAAATCCGGTGGTAGGTAAGAACCTGGGTAGAATCCTGCTGGATTAAACTATAGCCTCTAGGGTCCAACATCCTGCTTCTCCAAAAGGCCAAGCAGATCCTTCAGCCACCAACAGCAGTCTTTCACACTGTCACTTCCCAGGTATTCAGCAGTCCCTTTTCAAAGACAAAGAATCCCTTTTTTTAAAGCTAAGACATTCTGTCTGTGAAGTTTATATCACAGGCATTTTGAACATTTTAAGAAGCTCTTCATTCGTCTTTGTACCTAGAAGTGCAGTTTTGCTGGTGCAGGGAAGCAAACAGGAAAGAACAAAAGTTTCAATAGGAAAAATGCCACAAGACTGCTACATTTCAAGGGCCTCCTTAAACCTCTGATCTATGAAAAATAACCAGAGATCCATTAACATGGTTAAAGTAGATCAAGGGGGGGAAGAGGAGACATAAGACCATCCTGATGTCTCCAGCAAAGCTTTCTACTTCTTCCTGAAATATATCAGGTTACAATCATGCCATTAATGAAGCTTAAGGCCATGTTGACACGCAGGTGGTAACAGATACCCTGGCTTAAATCATCTCTTTCTATTTAAAAAAAAATAGCCTTTTTTCCTGAATGCCACCATTTTCCTGTACTAGAAAAGGGATACCGGGAAGACAGAGACAGAGACAGAGACAGAGACAGAGACAGAGACAGAGACAGAGACAGAGACATATCTATCTATCTATCTATCTATCTATCTATCTATCTATCTATCTATCTATCTATCTATCTATCTTCTCCTACAACCCAGATACTTTAAACTGAACAGTTTCTTCACCTACTCCACACACAAAGAGCAAATTCTCAGCAAGCCAAGGATGAAGATCTTCCGTTTCATTCTGAAGGAGAGCTTAGAGGGTAAAGTATATCCAACAAATTCCCTTCCAGATGGATTTCTGTTCTCCCCACCCCAACACTGTGCAAACTAGTTCTCTTTTTTGATAAGAGACCAAAGCCTACCAGGCAGCTCCTGAAGCTCAAAGCATCCTAGACAAAGCTCACCAGATGGAGAATTCCACCAAGCTTAATTAGCTTCCAGATATGTTCAGATGGGAGGGACCCAGACTACGAAAGAAAGTTGAGGTTGCCAAGCGCTTTTCAAAATAATTTCCACCCAGAACACTGAATGACAGCTCAGCAAAAGAGTAGGAAGGATTTTGTGCTAACTTTGTGTTGTGGTTCTTAGCTTTGAGCCCAGGTGTGTTCAGAAGCAAATACTGCTATGTTCAATGGGGTTACTCACTGGTAAACTGTCTACAGAATTGCCATTTAAGAAGAACTTGTAAAAGCAACATTTTCCCGCACTGAATTAACTGGTTTTGCTAATTAACAGGGCATATCATAATATGAAAAAATGGAGAAAATAAGTTTAAGTCAGTCCCCACAAGTACTGTGTATCTTGGTGAGATAGGGCTTGGAGCATCCAAACCTAATCTGTTGCCATCAAGATGTATTGAACTACGGTTCCCAGAATTTGCAACCAGCATGGCTGCTGGTCTTGTTTCAATTTGTGTATTAAATATGGTATGTTTGGCCTTGTTTCATTGTTGCTTATGCTTCAAATATGGAAGGCCCCAAGTTGAGAACATCTGGGGCCTTTCATATTAGATTGCAAAATTGGAGAGCAAGAGTCCTCATTGTCCCTTTGCATGCAAGTGGATCCCATCGCGAAAGAAGAAACAAAGCCACAAATCAGGCAAAAGAACTGAAACTGATTTTTGTTGAGAAGAGGATTGCAAAAACTACCAGCCAGTTTTCTATATTCAGATAACCATGATTTTAAAACAAAACACGTACTATTTAAAGATGAATGCTAGGAAGAAGTTCTGTATCACTGCCTGATGACAAAAAGAAAATAGTAAAATTCCATAATCTGGGTCTTACAATAGAGAGGACATTCTCTTGCAGCTCCCTATCTAATTTCATTTAACAATTTCTCATGAATTCTTTTCTTCCAATTTCAATATCCAAAGAGTTTCATACTTGCTGTTTGTTGAAGAAACAATGGCACACCTAGGAATTTTAAGATCAGTATATTTCCCAGATATACTACTCCATAGAGAAATACTAGATGGAGGGTATATCCCAGTAAGAGCAACCTTTAAAATATCCTGAAGTGTGAAAGAATCAAGATTTGGCTTCTTGAAATTTCAGGGCCAGTTACACTGGACCTCCAGTGTTGACATCAACATCTTATCCTTCCTGAGCTGTGAGATTCTTCTGAATATGCATTGTAATGAACATTTTGGATTGACACTGTTCATACTGCTCCTAAAGTGTCTGCATACTGTTTAAGCAACTTCTTCCTCATGAACCAGATTGTAAAGCAGCTTTCTCCAAAAATGGCCTCCTCCAGAGGAGATACGAGTATACCTGCCGTCAATACCAACCAATGAATCATGTTGGTATGAGGATCACCTTCGTGTGAGAATTCTTGCAATGGGCAGAGGGGTGGTTAGAAGACCTCCTAGGTCCTGTCCAAACTTATGATTCTATGTCATACAAGTGGTCTCAGTGATTCCAGATCAAGGAAAGCTGAACTAGAACTTTCCTCAGAAAATAAAGGATTAACTAACAATCATGAGAATTCTGATGAACTCTATCTAGAATAAGAAATTTCTATTTAGGCACTCTTCATCCTACTAAAGTGAAACTGTTCTTGCCTGCTCATCTGATGCACTAACCTTTTCTTGAAAAAGGTATCAGAAGCACTTTCAGAAGTATCAGGATACTGAAAGCTGTGTCCTGTTCCCCTGCCCAATTTCTCCTACCACCTTTGTCATTTTGTTGGTCCTTCTCCCCTACCCTGAAAGCCCAAGGCTTTTCTAAATTCACACATCAGCTGTTCTTCTCGTGGGTATGCAAATGGAGGCTTGCCCTGCAGGACAGAACTTTCTGGTTGTCTTTGAGATAGGAACCCCCCCGCCCGCCATACCTACCTGGGAGAACCTGTCTGTCCAAGTTGCAGTATCAAAGTGAGCTAATGTCTAAAAAAGGCAGAGCACATACCTAAGGATGAACAGAATTGCTTGTAAATAACGATTAGAAAAAGATGAACCTGGGGTGGGAAGATAAGACTCAAGGACTGATGACATATGGATA